CACCCAAATGTCCAAATACAAAACATGCCAGGCATCCATTGTCACCAGAGGCAGGAGCACGCAGACACTGGCCCCTCCCTCCATCCAGAGAATCTGGTCAAAGCCCCCACGCCTGACTGTCCTGGCCTGGGGGCGCCCGGGTGGAGCCCACCTCCAATCACTCCCTTCACCTTCCCCACCTGTGAGGGGAACTGGCAGCGCCCACACTCCCGCGCTGAGAGTCGGGGCCCCTGGCATTCCTGGCCAGCACCAGCCTGTGGGTTAGGGGCACAGCCCTCCCTGCCCTCTCACCGCCCGCCGGAGGGCTGGGAAACTGCGCTCCCGCGGCTCCACCGAGCACCGCGGTTCCTCCGGGGACGTGATACTCACTCCTGGGACGTGATACTCCGGGGACGTGACTGGCGCCTCCCCCTGCGCCTAGCCTGCGCTCAGGGCTGTGCACTTCCTTGCAAGAGCATTTTTCTCTTCCCTTTGCCCTTCCTGCGTGTGACCAGCTACAGCCCAAGCCAGGCGGGAGAGGGGAAAGAACAGAGGCGCAGAGCCCGCCGCGCCGCCCGCCCCAAAGGGGCTGGCGCTGAAGACGCTAAAGGAGGCCGCACCCCCAGGCCTGGAGCACAGCGTCCGCCGAAGGGCTGCGGGGCGACCTTCAATGCCGGGCTTCTCCGTCCTCCTTTTAGGCCTTGCCCGAGATCAGCCCTCCCCCGAGGGCGTCTGGGGTGCTGGCTGGCCGTGCTCCCTTCACCCAGACCCTGGTGGGGGGAGAGAAGGGCAAGAAGAGGCCTCAGCGCTGACACTGGCCCCCTCCCGCCCCAAGCCCTGCACTCCCGCCAGCCCTGGCACCACCGCACAGGGAGGAAGGAGAGAGGCCTCCTTGCTGGAGACAGGGAGGGCCGGGCCTGCCCCTCCGCCCAGCACCCTCAGTCCTCAGACACATCCTGGGCCTCAGGACCCTGCTGTGACACTGAAGGGGGAAAGGCTGGGTAGGGGGTCTCTGAATTTATCCACTCACTCCCTTGTTCCAGTTGAACTTACTCTTGGACAGTGGTTCTCCCTCCTGCCTGGAAGCAGAGCCCACTCCTGCCTGGCTGACCACTTATCCACAGGAGCCGGAGAACTTGGGGCTTCTTTGATGAATGACTNGCCTGAGATTCCACTGGCCTCCATGAGGCCCCCTTCCAGATGTCCCAGCCACCCCTGAACATTCCATGAGCCTTGTTCCTGAAGTCCTTGTCCTCCGTCCCCACCGCTTGGCCCTGCCCCATGGGGGTTTCTCCCTGCACTGGGACAGCTGGGGCAGAAAGTTCATCTTGTTGGGATCAGCCATGCCCAGGTGCTCCAGGAGGTAGACATTTTTTGTAAGTTGGGCCTTCAGCAAATCATCCCCACCCAGGAGGCACCGTTGAGTTCATGACCATGGCCTGTGTTGGCTCTGCTGCGCTGCACAGACCCTGGCCTGGGCTACCCCAGGTCATTCAGGGGCTGGGTTCCTGGCAGGTGGACTGGCCCAGATGCACCACTTCCTGGACCCCTCCGTGTGCCAGGCCCGGACTCTCGTTGCACCTCCCCCACCCTCCTCTTCCCCCAACCTCTCTGCAGGCTGGCGAGGGCTCTGACGTGTGAAATAAAAAGAGATTTTAATTACCTCTCAGCAAAACAGCAATTAGAGAGAACCACAGCACAACAGCGACTGCTCTCATTCTCCCCGCTCCAGGCCCACCTTCTTCCCTTCTCTGAGGCTCCCACCCCAGGGCCCAGGCTGGATGTCACAGGAAGTCCTCCAGATCCACTCATGGGAGCCAAGGGTCAGGAGGAGGTCTGTGCAGGGGACAGGGGCAGAGGGTGCAAGGGTCTGGGTAGGGAAAGCCTCCTCAAGTAGGAGGGCTGGCCAGGCAAGTGGCCCACCTTCCGTGCCACCCTGAGGACAGCCAGTGTCTCTTGTCCTTGGGTCTGAGTGGGCACCACAGGGCAAAGCATCCTCTGCATGAGCCCAGTGCACACCCACCCCTGTGGACCTGGCACCTGTGCTGCACTTGGGGAGAGGCCAGGGAGGGCGGGGTGGGGGTCCCCATGGGTGG